TTCCAAAATATTAAAGTACTTGAAAAATATTGAAAAATTAAACGGTAGCCTTATTACATGGTTATAATCTTAAATATTTTATTTATGTCCCAAACGAATTTTATTATAATTTACTTCCCTGGTTTTAAGAGAAGAAAATTCATCAACAATACTTTCATCATATGCTTTTGAGAAAAAAGTTAACCAATAAAAATACATGAAAACGGGCCGGCCCGGTGGCGCACTGGATAGTGCGCCGCTTGGGAAGCACGGAGGCGCTCCCGCCGAGGGTTCGGATCCCGCATACGGACTGGTTCCCGCTCACTGGCTGAGCGAGGTGCGGGGTCAGCGCCAAGGGTTGCGATCCCGTTGCCAGTCCCCGGTCCGGTACGGGGGCAACACTGAGGGTTGCGATCCGTTGCCGGACACGGAAAAAAAAAAAAAAAAAAAAAAAAAATACATGAAAACATATGCATTGAGGTGCATATGTTTCCTTTTGCTCGAATATGGCGCAGCTTGGTACTGTCAGATTCTTTCTTTATTTAAAATTTTGATATTTTGTTCATTGTGGATATCTTTTGTTCATTTTGATATTGCATTAAAATAGTCTTTATCTTGATGATGGGTTTTTTGATGCCCGCTTAAATTTTGTGCCGAAGGTGAGTGCCTCAATCGCCTTACCCTAACTCCAGCTTCTTAGCATTTATCTTAAAACTCAGCAGACACCATAAACTGCCCTCTTATTGAGCAGCCTCACCCCAAGAAGAAACGAGGCAGTGAGGAAACCGTCTTCCTTTTGGGATCCCTGCTTGGCCTGGGGCCTGAGGTCGCAGGGTCAGCAAAGGTTGTGTTCCTGGATTCACCCCAGGCATGCCCTCCTACAGTCCTCCTGCAGAGGGCTCCGTGGAGAGGTGGAGTCTGGCTGACAGCCCATTGGGTCTTGCCTTTTTCCCTGGCAGTAGAATTGTTATGAAATCATTGACTCTGTATTTGCCTGCAGGGCTGAAATGAATCTGTTAACCTCAAAAAAACCTATCTAATCTCAGACAAATGCCAAACAGGGCTAAGCTCCTCTACACTGTGGCTGGCCGTAAAATTCAGACAATTTTCTCCAGGTGTCTTGGATGGCACAGCCACAGCTTCTGGGAGAGTCTGTTTTTCCCCAGTTGCCCCGCGGGTCTAAGGGGACCAGAAGGGTAAGCTACCTTGGCATTCTGGAAGGGAAGGCTTTATACGTCAATTCCCCAAAACAAGTTTTGACATTTCTCCTGAAGTGTCATCCTTTATCTGATCACTGAAAAATGCCTGCTGCTCCCTCACCTGCTGGGCAGTGACAGTGGAGACAGGATGGGGATGGAATAAAGGAGTGGGACCTGCGGCACCAACTTGCACTCAGACCCTGAACAGGCACCAAAAGCTTCTCTTCAGGAGAGGCTCAACAGTTTTTCTTAGTAAGTTGTATAAATGGGCCACACTGTTTGGAGCCAGATAAGGCTGTTCAGTCCCCCCCAGCAGACACCTGGGGGAGGTGTGTCCCTGGCGGCTTTGGTGGTTTCTTAAGGATGAGGTGGAGACATTAGTAAGTCATGCTTTCCTTTAATTCCTAGCTCCTGTGGTCTCCAGATTCGAGGCATAAGATGAAAGACTCTGGTCTTGCCTTCAGCCTTCTTTCTGCTGTGTTGTATCTCTTCTGGACTCCTTCTGCTGGCCTGAAGACACTCCACCTGGGAAGCTGTGTGATCGCCACAAACCTTCAGGAAATACAAAGTGGATTTTCTGAGATACGAGACAGTGTGGTACGTAAGGGAGGCCCCACGTCTCCTGGCTGCCTCTCCTCTTGCCTCCTTGTCTGTCTCTCTTCTCCTGGCAGCCCTGGCAGTGTGATCATGAAGAGAGGCAGCCTGGGGATGCATTACCAGGAGGATTCATTCACCCCAAATATCTGTAGTTCATAATTTTACAATGTTTTGGAAAGAAACTCCTTCCACCAGCCTTGGCAGGGAGGGGATGAGAAGTCTTGATGTCTGACTCTGGCAGCAGTCACTGACCCGTGCTTTCTTGTCGTGCCTTCTCCTGTTTAGCAAGCCAAAGATGAAAACATTGACATGAGAATCTTAAGGAGGACCGAGTCTTTGCAAGACGCAAAGGTATGTGTTTGGCTCAGACGTGCCCTGGGTGGAAGTACGCAGTGGGAGCGTCTCCTGCACCCTGACCTTGTCTCTGTCTCTCCTCTCCCCCAACTAACACACATGTCTCCTTTGCAGCCAGCTGATCAATGCTGCCTCCTGCGCCATTTACTGAGACTGTATCTGGACAGGGTATTCAAAAACTACCAGACCTCTGACCATCACACCCGCCGGAAGCTCAGCGGTCTCGCCAATTCCTTTCTTACCATCAAGAAGGATCTCCGGCTCTGTGTGAGTGAGGGTCTTGGGTAACAGGATCTATCTTGGCACATAGCTTCAATGATTTAGCAAGTAAGCTCTCTTTTCTGTCTCCGCTTACTGGATGGAGGAACTGAGTCCACCAGTTCTAAACTTGTGTTGAGCCATGTGACTAGGTGATAAGAATTCAGCATTATCAGATTTTGGGTATATGCTCTATGCAAGAAGAACTTTGCAATGGCTAAGGAACTATAAAATGCTAGGTATTTGATACTATTGATAATTACCTATTATCCACAAAATTACTCTTTTTCTGTAGGTGAGGTATCCTATGGTGTACTGGTGCATCCTGTGTCCAGGCAGCCAATCAACAGGCCATTTGCCTCGATCTCAGAATATAGGCTACACAGGATCTAGGAATCCGATTTTCTCTTCCCATGGGGGCTCTGGGATGGAGTTCCTAGACTACAGCGGGAGTAGGCTGGGGAGGCCAGATGGAGTGACTGCAAACTCCTTCAGCACTACCTGCTTCTAAAAGGAAGCAATAAGCTCCGTATTTAAGCCCCCAAAGCTGTCATCCTCTTCCAGCTGATGATTATTTTAATGATCCCAAAGGATAAGGTCTGAAAAGACTTTTCTCTAGGAATGAGTATCTACGGGGTTGCGGGTGAAAGAGTAGAATTGCCACCTGCTTCATGTCAATGTCAAGAGCAGAAAATCAGAAACTTTAACAAAATCTTTCATTCTTTGGGTCCTTTTCAGCATGCCCACATGACATGCCATTGTGGGGAGGAAGCAACGGAGAAATTCAGCCAGATTCTGAGTCACTTCAAAGAGGTATATGAAATTTTGGCATTGGTTGGGATGGGTGTGTTTTTAGATATGAGATCATAGCTGGGTGGGTTGGATATTCATGCTGCTAGAAATCCTATAGGTCTCAGGTGACAGCCCTCTGCAGTCATGTGAGCCATCCTTGCTTAACCCAGAAGACACCCATCCATGCTCTCTGGACCATGCTCTGGGAATGGACAGGGAATGGCCGTGATTCCATCAAGACTTTCTAGAGACATCCACATCTTCCAGCTGCACAAACAAAGGCAATAGTTTTCCAGCATTCACACACTTGTACATACATACACTCAAAAACACTTGCTCACAACCACACACACCCAGGCCACACTGTTCCTCATCTCAACACCTGTGCACCTGTGCACCTGTGCCAGGAAGGCCTGCAGTCCACTCCTCACTGCCCTCCTCCTACTCATCCCATAGACTCAGCCTAGGTATCACCACAAGGAAGGTGCTGGCAGCTTCTCTCAGTTAGGTGCCCCCCCTGCCGTCCGTGGGGACTCTGTCATTTGTTGAGAACACTACATTTTAGTTACTTGCTTCTGCCTATCCCCCTCACTCAACTGTGAATTCCTTGTGGATAGGGATTGCCATTCACCTCCGAATCCCTCGCCACCAGCCCAGTGCTTGGCACAATCAGTATTTGATCAATTGAAGTGTGTATAGTAGGCAAACCCTACACACACACCCCCACCCACCCCTTTCCTAAAGAAAACACCCTAAGTACTTTGATTTCAGTGACATAAGAGACTTGGGCTGTAGCCAATTCTGCTACACTTCCCCCAGGCCTCAGTTTCCCTATGTGACACCAGTGTGATGGACTCAATGATTTCCCTTCCTCTCGTGAGATCTTGAAATTCCCCAACTTCTTTCAAGTTCTTTACCTTGATACAAATGCTCTGCTCACTCTCTCCAGCAGACCCACCAGGAGGAGAGCATGAGCCCTGGAGCAAACGCTGCCGTGAGATCTTGAAATTCCCCAACTTCTTTCAAGTTCTTTACCTTGATACAAATACTCTGCTCACTCTCTCCAGCAGACCCACCAGGAGGAGAGCATGAGCCCTGGAGCAAACGCTGTCTCTTTGTGAGTGGCTAACCACGTGACTGTGTGTCTCTTGCAGCTGGAGCCGCAGGCTGCAGTCGTGAAAGCCTTGGGGGAACTGGACATTCTTCTGCAGTGGATGGAGGAGACAGAATAGGAGGACAGTGACGCTGCTGCTGAGAGTGGTCCTGGCCAAGAGTCCCAGTCCTCAGCACCCCTGGGAGCATGACCCCAAACCACCATCTCTTTGCCATATAATTTAGTGCTGGTCACAGTGTATATTATTTATTTATTATTTGTTTCCTTATGTGGTTGTCTTTCTGTGTCCCCAATCTTAATTGAGACTATATTGTCATAAGATTTTTGTAATATCTTTTCTACTGTTGGATATATTTATTAGTTAATATATTTATTTATTTTTTGCTATTTAGCTTATTTATTTTTGTACTTGAACGTGAGACTTTAAAAAAAATTCACAGATTATATTGACAAGAGCAGGTGATGTATTTTCGTACAGTAAATGAACACTTTAAATTCTAGAAGACTGGCTAGAAGGGTTATTCGTTTTCATCAAATTAAGGAAGTATTGACTCACTGCCAGTGCTCTATGAGACATTTAAAATTCAACCAGTAGCTACTTATTGTGGGTCATTAAGAAGTTCTGATTGTAAAAGGACAGACCTGTCTTACAGTTACTGACCATCCCCACCTGACTTACCAGCCCCATACTCGTACCTCTTCCAGCTACGGAAACTACATGGCCAACGTGTGTTTCTATAAATAAAGTTTTCTTTGCATAATATCTGCATGGACTTTGAAAATGCTTCAGGAGCAAAGACAATGTTAAAGATAAGCTTTAATCTCATTTCACTTAGGGTTCTCTCACTCCCTTGGGTCCTTTCCTGATGAATTCATCCCCAGCTCTACATTTTAATCCACTCACATCTCTGATCCCATGACTGCCCTCCACATAAAGGGACTGTGACTGAGTGGGGGACTTCAGCCATCCCTGACTTCACCTGGATAAGCTTTAATCTCATTTCACCTAGGGTTCTCTCGCTCCCTTGGGTCCTTTCCTGATGAATTCATCCCCAGCTCTACATTTTAATCCACTCACATCTCTGATCCCATGGCTGCCCTCCACATAAAGGGACTGTGACTGAGTGGGGGACTTCAGCCATCCCTGACTTCACCTTGGGTTGGAGCACTGTCCTTTCTATATCCCCGTTTTCTTTCTCATCCCAGGTTCCTATACAATGGTGTCGGGGGTCGTGATTGCAACACACATTAAAATGGGCATGTCTGACAAACTTGGCTTTAATTCTCAAGGAATAGAGCTGAGAAGCCAACTGCACTGAACTCAGTGCTAAAATTAGAGCTATCACCCCAAGAGATGTCCGATGGCATGGAGGAGCCTTCTGCCTGGGCATGTCTGAGGCTGACCCGCGAAGCTGAGGACAAAGCTCCTCTGTTTCCTAGGAAGTGTTTTTGACTCTTCAGTGAGTCTGGACCCTGGGAAGCCTTGGTCTTTTGGGCTCCACGTTACCATTGACTTGTTAACCTCTTTGTCTGTTCCTCTCCCCAGCAGGACCCAACTCCTCCTCCAAGATATTTGTCTCTTCTCTGCTTGACTTACCACAGTACTAATAATGGGGAATTCAATAGTGGAGAGTCAAACCAGATTAGGGGTGAAGGGAAAACTTCACGAAGGTGGAGCCATTGAGGGACAGACTCAAAGGATGGTTGATGACAGTCACTTCCAATTACAATAATTAAAACGATGGTTATCATTTATAAAGTATTCAACATGTGCCAGGCACTGTATTGGAAACTTTACACACATTACATTATTTAATCCTTAAAACAACCCTGTAAGGTAGGTAGTGTTATTGCTAGTTTACAAGTGACAATATGCTCAGAGATGGTAAGTGACTTATACAACGTTTTACAGCTAATTGAAGGCAGAATCAAGATGTGAATGCAGGCAGCCTGATGCCACAGCCCAGCATACTTTCCCAGTCTACCGTCCTCTTTCCCAGCAATGGCATATTGTGTTCAGAAGCATAGTAGAAAGGAATAATGAGACCTGGCTTCCTACAGACACGAGTGAAAATCCTGACTCTGATCCTCACTGTCTTGGACAAGTGACATTCCATTCTCAGTTTCCTCATTTGCAAAGTGGAGATATATTGCTCACCACATGGGATTGATGTGAGTACTAAATGAGATTGCAATAGCTAATCCGTGCAGGCATTTATTACGTATCAGGTACTGTTCTAAGTGTGTTGTGAGGGTCTGCTCATTTAATTTGTACAACAGCATGATGACACAGTGCCATTTTAATTCCCATTTTACAGATGAGAAAACTGAAGACCAGAGAGGTAAAGTATCTTGTTCAAGTTCACACAGCTACCAGTGGTGGAGATACAATACGAATGCAGGCAGGCAGACTGGAGAGCCCTGCTTTAACTGCCTCACTTTGCTGGACGGATGGAATGCCCAGTACACAGAAAGCTCTGGACCAATAGTGGCTCTGGCTGTATCAGACGAAAGTGACAAGCCTTCCTACCTCACTGTAGCACTCACCATGAACCTCCTGGTGCAACTTACCTCTATGATATCTGTTTTGAATTTCATTTTTCCGTGGGTCTAAACTTTGTCTCCTCCATAAGCAGAGTGTAAATTCCTATGGCGTTAACAAGAGAAATACCCTAAAACTCAGGTTGACCTATCAGCTCTGGTTACTATTAGCTGTTAGACCTTGGATAAGCCACTCCCCCTCTCTGGGCCTTAGTTTCTGATGAAAGATTGAATATACAAACAGGCAATAGCCAGAAGATATATAAGAGTAGAACTTTGACCCACAATCTGCAGCAACCAGCCTAGGAAACCCTCCCACGTTCTGCAGTAACCAGCCCAGGAAGCCAGCCTACTATCTTCAAGTCAGACTTGTGAGAAGTCAGACCACTATCTCTAGCAATGAGCACAGGAAGCAGTAATCCCCATAACAATTGGCCCAAAGTGGCTTGATTAATAGCTGACAATTTCCCTGATTTTTGTCCCTGCTTCCAACTTAGGACCAACCAGAGAAAGCCGATTACGCACCCCTAACCAATCAGAAAGGGTGCTCTGCACCACCTATAGCTTCCCTGTGCCAGCAGCCTCCAAGCGGGGCGCACCCAAAGCCTTCCCTTTTTTCCCACTGTAAAGACTCATTCCTCTGCTTGCCTTGGAGTCTCCACCAAAATGCAGGTGATGATGGCTGACCCCCTTGCTAGAGCAAGCTCTGAATAAATAGACTTTGCCCGTTCTCATTGGGTTGGTCTTCATTTATTTCCACAGTGCACTTGTAAAATAAAAGGGTTGGAGCAGATGATTCTGGATTCTCAAAACTGGATGTCCCACCACTGTTTCAGGACACCAGTTATAGCTGCTGCCCCCACTCCCTTCTATTGCCGAGAAGGAGTGTACATGGTTTCTGTTTTACCATCTTCGGATACAGAGTCTTGGGTGAGTGCATCTGATGGGGCAGGCCTAGATGATGTTCCGTGCTCTGCATGCTGGGGAGGTTGGACAAGCCTTCCCTCTGATGAGAGGTGGACTTTTTCTCCAAAGAAGGGGCATCTCATACCTAAGAATGAGGTCCAGGTGCAAGTGACTCACATGAGTCACCACATTTATTTATTGTCCCTCATTTCCACCATGGCTTGGGGTTGCCCAGATTCCCTATTTTCAAAAATTCAGGACTTTTCCAAAAGAGTCCACTGGAACTTTGTCTGCCTGTCTTTCATATGGATGGAGAGCAAATGGACCATTTCCCCTCTGGACTCTTAAGTGTCTGGAGGACAGGACTATGTTCTTCTCACCTTTTCAGCCCTTTCCACCCTACCCCATCTCAGCATAGGATACGTTATTAATCAGGACTGAATTTAAAAGCAAGAGAATGGAAAGTGTTTAAAAAGAGAATTTAAGAATATAATAAACCAAATTAAATTGCTTTCTATTTGTGAGTGGCTCCTAGCTAATTTTTTTCATGAGCCAAAGACTCTGGCCTTTGCTGGAAAACAAACAACCCACCCTGCTCTGCATCCTGGACCTTGCTCACAGGAGACAGTACAATGAATTGTGAAAGAATGACTGAACATGGCCACTCCCCTGTTTCACTGGAAGGTTGGGAAGAGAAAAAGGTGACACTTGCTGGGTCAGCCCAGTTTTGCTTAATGGGAAGAGGGTAGGACTCAGAGGCCTGGAGGCGGGAAGCCATGGATTACAAGAGCACTACCATCTTTATGAGTGCATTCTTAGTCTCATTGAACATTAGAAGTGGGATGGGACATACTAATCACAGGGAATATGCAGGGAAAGTGACTTGGCAAAGTTTACATAGTGACTTTACATAGAGTTTACATGATGAGTTATGGAAGAGTTGGCATTAAACCTCAAGCTTGCATATTTCCAGGACCACTAAAACTTGTGGAATATACTATAAAGCATATGTACCTCACAGGGCCTGGTTTTCCAAGGCCTTGCAGTTTCAAACATTGACCTTGTGGAGGACTGGAAATTTTATCCAGGCTATAAAGTGTCTGTTGCAAGATAAGAATTGTGGCACAGCAAGGTTGCTGGCTCAAAGACAGATGAGTTACTGATTGATATCTAAGTTGCTGGAAAACTGTAGAGGGAGAAGGAATGTTTGCTAAGATCAAGCTTTTGTTGATTGCTTTACTGGAATGTCATCTGACTTGTTTCACTGAAAGTTACCAGCCTATATTGTTAAGCTGTAACCCCACCTATGCCTCTTCCTGTAACTTCCTGGTCTGGAAAATAAATGCAGGAAGAGAACCCCAATTCAGGATTAATTTCCCGAGGAAGGGTTGCCTCTTGCTGGAGCGAGCATTCCCAGGGAAGTTAACCACTTCGGGGCTTCTCACTGCTCAGAAGAGATGGGCTTTGAGTAATCCTTTGTGTCTCTGTCACCCAAGGGAAGTGGGGTGACAAATCCATGAGGGGTGAAGCAACACAAAGGAACAAAATCTCAATTCAATTCAATGAGAAATAAAAGTCATTCAGATTAGAAGTAAACAAAGTCTTTATCTGTAGATAGCATGCTTGTCTAAGCAGAAACATCTGATGGAATCTACCAAAATGCTACTAGAATTAGTAAGAAAATTTAAAAGGAGGTTGTAGAATAAAGATCAATATACAAAAACCAGTAGTATTTCCATACACCAGCAATACACTATTGGAACCTGAAAAAAACAAAACAAAACAAAACAAACTAATTACAATACCATCAAAAAAAAATTTGAAATACTTGGGGGTAAATCAGAGACAAAAGACTTAAGAGATCTCTATACTAAAAACTGCAAACTATTGCTGGCATAAATTAAGGATGATCTAAATAAAGGAGATATATATCATATTCATGGGTTAAAAGACTCAATATTATTAATATGTCAATTCTCCCCAAATTGACCTGTAAATGTAATGTAGTCAC